CGTAATCTGACGGAAATAGAAATAGCAGTAAACTTATCCATAAGGCGAGTTTCAACCGGTTGAAATTCGCCTTATTGCGAGGTTATGGCTAAGTTTACTATTATTTCCATTTCCATTAGATTACGTAGACCTAAAGCAATATCCTGATTAGCTCATCGGCTTAAGTTTACATCTTACGATCACTGTTACTCCGGATCTACAAATAGGTGTTTTAAGCCTTAAGTCGTAAGAAATTGACCAATTACAATCGAATTCGAGGAGAATAATCGACCGTGATTCGCCCACTTCTTATGGCTTAAAGCTTAAAATCCTATTGTAGATCCGAAGTAACCCTCCTCGGATTCGACTGTAATTGATCAATTTCTTATGGCTTAAAGCTTAAAATCCTATTGTAGATCCGAAGTAACCCTCCTCGGATTCGACTGTAATTGATCAATTTCTTATGGCTTAAAGCTTAAAATCCTATTGTAGATCCGAAGTAACCCTCCTCGGATTCGACTGTAATTGATCAATTTCTTATGGCTTAAGGCTTAAAACACCTATTGTAGATCCGGACTTACGGAATTTTGTGTGCAGTAGCCCTTAAAGCAAGGTTGTGGACCTAGCCATATGCTTTTGAAATCTTGCACACGAGATAGTCGATATATCTCGATATATCGATCTCTTTCTCGATGAGAAAGGATCGACGCGATGGCCGCAGATGGCCGTCCGCATTGGATCGCTTTCGGCCCTGAACTGATCGTTGCACGACAGATATCTCGGTGATTTCAAGGGATTCGCGTTGATCAGTTCCAATTAGTTCCCACGGAATTGTCATCCGTTCTTCTTTGTCTCTCTTTTTTGTCTGGAATCTCCACACTGGTTTTCACGGATTAAGCAAAGTCAGCAAAGACGTAAACGACCGGGAAACGCCATGGAGGTCGACGTGCCTGAAGAAAATACAAACGAACAAACGGCGATGGAAATCGATGAAGACACCTTCGATAGGACACCGAGGATGTCCGGAAGTGTCAAAGTCATGGCCTCTTCGGGCACCATCGGCTCCGTATCTATCAGCTTGCATCCGCTGGTGATCATGAATGTCAGTGAGCACTGGACCAGGCTCAGGGCTCAGGAGGGCAGCGATCAGTTGGGTAAAGTTTCCCCTTCAATAATTAACAGCAAGCTCAATAGTAGATGCAAACATCAGCATACATTGCCAATTAAGGCCCCTATTCTATAACTCTCAACGATAGTACCAGTGTTGTTATATTAGGTGCCTTCCAGCAAGAAACATGACGACACAGTGTAACATAGGCTGTGTTCCAAATTTACTGCCAGCGGTGAAAATGCTACAGTTTACGTTACATGCACTATAGATTTTCAGTACAGGCAGTCAATTTTGGAACATAGCCATAGTGAATTATTATATCCTTATTGTTTGCCAAAGATGAAACGATCACTGAGTTGCATCAAATCTCTTGCTGAAAAGTACCAAGTCATTGTACAGCTTTTTTACCATGAATAAAACTTATACAACTACAATGTAATGATATCGTTATTGTTGTTAAGAATTACAGTAGGGGCCTAATTATATATGCTAAAAATTTTGGCATTATATATTAAATATATATTTATATTCATATCTTACTTTTATAGATAGATATGTATTTAGTATATTGTTTTTATATTACATATACTATAGAATCTCAGAAATAAACATATTTATTGATGAAAGTGAGTTATATGAATGCAGATCAATATAAATTCTTAAATGATTTGGAGATGTTAATACACAGTGAAAGTATTTTCAGAGGTCATAGTCATAAATTTGATAAGTTTTATTAATAATGTTCTATGAATCAGTACTGTTTCTAATGTTAAAATACTTTCAGTGTATGGTGCTCTGATCGGTAAGCAGAAGGGTCGTAACATCGAAATTATGAACTCCTTCGAGCTGCTGTTCACTTGTATCGGCGATGATGTCATAATCGATAGGGAATATTATACCACAAAGGAGGAACAGTTTAAACAAGTTTTCAGTGAAATGGATTTTTTGGGATGGTATACAACTGGTGATATGCCTACCGAGAAAGACATTCGAGTGCACAAGCAACTTTGCGAAATTAATGAAAGTCCTGTATTACTGAAACTGGATCCAAGACCAAAAAACACAGAGGTGAGATATATAAATGAATGATATACAAATTTATTTTTATTGAAACATGTTTCTGTGAGAAAGTATCTTTCTTTTTTTTATTAGTTTTTAAATACATGAAAGTATTTAAGAATGATTATTGCAGCACTTATCTGTCTCTATGTACGAATCGGTGATCGATTTAGTTAACGGTGAGGCTACCATGTTATTTGTTCCGTTAACTTACACGTTAGCCACAGAGGAAGCTGAGAGAATTGGAGTCGATCACGTACAAAGGATGTGTAACAATGATCAAGGCGAATGCTCAGTAGGTGAGTAATACAACAATGCAATTAAGATAACTTTTGTTTAACTGCGATAAACTCAGAATTAACATAATTCAAATATCTAAACTTCAGTGGCTGAACATTTAACGGCGCAACACAGTGCCATCAAAATGTTGCATGCGAGGGTGAAACTCGTTCTAAGATATGTGCAAGCAGTACAAAATGGAGAATTAAAAGGAAACCATGAGGTTCTTCGAGCGGCATGTTCTTTGAGTCATCGACTGCCTGTTTTGAACAATCCAAAATTTAAGGCTGACTTTTACAATGTTAGTATATGCTTATATACATTAATATATGCATTTAAAAGAATACACTCTAAAAATAGAATTTTATTAAATAGTTGTTTTAATCTAATCTATTTTTTATGTTAACAGCAATGCAATGATTTTGGCTTGATGACGTATCTCGGTATCATAACTAAAGGCTGTAATAATATAAATCAATTTGTAAACAAATTTAATATCCTGTACGATAGACAAGGCGTGGGACGACGTTTACGAAGTCTCTTCTTCTGATATGTAAATAGACTCTATTGTTTTTATACATGTCTTTTTTTACTTCTTAGATAACTAAGTATCGAACTCAGGATTAAAGTTTAAACAGCCAACTTAATCGAGGGATAGTACTTCTAGAGGTACGTTGTATCGAATATAAATAAAGTAAAGAAGTTACATAGCAGTCTTTTTGAAATAAAATGTAATAGCAAATGATAGAGAATAAGAATCATCCGAAACATACATTATATCGTTAATATCATTCAGAAGTAATATTTATTAAATGCTGTCTTGTATAAATGGTATGTTTTAACACATTTCAATTAACAATAACGTGTGATATTAATAAAAACTGTGATGCGTTTCAAGAGATTTTTTGCTTTACGTTACATCGATTTAATATTTAGTCAAATTATATTATAAAAAAAATGAAATAAAATTTATATTGCAAATTAGGTATGTATATTAAAGTATACTCGGATAATAAATCTCTAATAGATGCAAAATTACATCTTGTGATACAAAGAAATATGCCTAGTTTAGGCTCCGAGTGAACAGTCATAAATGGTATATTAATCGATAGGAGGCACTCACAGAATACGAAATAAAAAGTTTTAATTGCCAAATTGAACTTTGGTTAACGTATGGACCCTTATCCCTCTTCAATTACTTCTTTCCTATATCAAAGCTCTCTAAAACTAAAAAAAAAACATTGTTAATGCTCTTGCTGACACATGGATGTCTTCATCAAAGTATTGAGCATATCCCAGATATCATGACTGTCATCACATACACGCAACACACAACTGTATGACATCCATTTTTGCAAGACCAATATTCTACACTGGCTCGAGCTCCTTCATCGTCACGTTCTGCCGTATGTACAGTAATGAGTATGATTTATGTGCTTAGCTTGTATTCGGGCTTTGACGAGAATAGCGTTATGTATGACTATGCCATAATTAACAAAATTTGTTACTTCAAATGACGACTTATCTGTATAAAATATTGCTCGATAATAGTCACATGCTAAACCATCCTTTGTCAGTACTGAAAATCCTTCTAATTTATATACATCCAACAAAACAAATACGGCAATTTATGGATCAGATTTTATTCTTGGACTAACCAAAATAACATATTTGATTTGTACAGTTGACAACATAAGTTGTGCGGTCTTTTCTGAATGCTCAGCATCTGATATGATGGCAGAACATGTAGTGAATAGCAACGATATTTTGAAAATCAGTCATTAAATGGGGAATTGGATATATCATACGGAATTAAATTATCCGAAGCAAGTTTTAAGATGCCATTGATAACTTCAACGACAAATCTTAGTGAAGATTATCGCCATCATCGCGAAGAGATGCCCTAACGCAGAGAAAAGATAAGACCAGTGATACATAAACAATACATATTTATAATAGCGAACTTTGGACAGCTCTAGCAGTCAAGGGAGTTATTTACAAGGTTGTGCATGTAGAACTTTTTGATTCTTTTTTGATGCGATATAATTTTAGCTCTGTCTCAATGCTGTTCACCCGAGTCTCAATTTCCGTAAGAAAAACTGGGCATAGTTCTTTATTAATTTACTTCATATATAAATATATATATATGTGTATGTATGTGTATATATATATGTTTTTGAAACACTCCTATCATTGCTTAGAATGAGAAGTACAGCGAGAATATATACAAATCATAGGATACTTTCACACGTTTTTGCTTTAATAATGGAAGACCTCATTTTAATTGATTTACATACTACCAAGCATACCTTTTCCTTTATAGGCCATATTATCCACTCTTTATATCCCAATAATTTCATAGTAGCGACTTATGTATACACACAAGTTTTACCTTCATAAAAAAATTGCCTATATATTATAATCTTTTATTATAAAATACTAAAAGTTTCTCTCTCTAAAAATCTATTCGCATATTACGCATATATATCTCCGACTTAAAATATAGAACGACTTAAAAATATTATTGTACAAAATATAGTATATTGTGCCTCATTAGTTATTGCATGTAACTGTGTTATCAGTTACTCATTCTGTACGAAGTAAAACCAGAATTGACCTTTCGTACATGACTAGACCGTTATGATTGCAGATAGAGAGACCCTATAATAAAAGTCTGGCCAAAATGAATCAGTCTTTTGATTGATCATCACTTATGATCCATTCGGTGTACAGTATTTCGAATAGCTTCGTACATTTTTGGAAAGTGAGAGAAAGTGAGAAAAAGAAGGAAAGAAAGACAGATAGCTAATCTATCTCCTATTTTTTATCCGCTTTGGCCAAACTCTTATTATAGGATTTCTAATTGCAGAGAGTTTGCCACGCTCTCTTACGATGACGTGATATTAATGACAATTAAATTTCCGAGATATCACGCTATTTTTTCTCCATTACCTTGCGGAAATGTGACACAGATGATCCCTATATAATATAACTTGATTTGACAGCACGATACGCTACATACATAGACTATAGAAAATATCGCAGCGACTATTTTTTCCTATTTGATATATTGCCTTGTACAACGAATTGTGCGAGTTTGCCTGATATCATTTTGATATGCTAGACGAGAGTAGTAATTCGAACAAAAAAGAAAAAAGTAAAACCGAATCGATCTCTCTTTCGCCAAAATGAAACTCGTATAACATGTTTCATCTAAGATTACGAATTAGAGTTAATTATCGATCTTGTATCTAACTACAGTCAAGTACCCGTTCATTTCTTTTCCTTTTGTATGTCCCTCTCTCGGAAGAGTATATAGTAATATATTATTAGTTTTTCAGTAGGCTGTCTTCGATCATAGTAGCCAGCACGTCCACCAGAACGGACAGCATCGAATCGGGCTAAGGACTCGATTTATCCATACCGATGATCTCCTCGAAAAGACTATTCTTTCCTTCCATCCGTTCCTCGATCGCGTGCATGGCATATCTCAGCGTCGCGGCGGCAAGATCACCCACCGACCAACGTCTGTCTATCAGAACTCTGCTCACAGTGTCTAACTGAAATTGAAATTTTAGCTAGAACGATGAATAGTTATGGCGAATTCGGTCACTTGCACTACACTAGATTAATGCATATTAAAAGCTGCTATACATAAAATTAGTAAAGTTAAATGTAAAAGCATATAAATATTTTAAAAGATTAAGTAGTCAATAATAATATTGTCACGTTATTTGATAGAATATTATATATACAGAGTGTCTCGTAAAGACTCGAATAACGCTTAAGGAGAGATTATTTTCAGACGAAAATCCTAATACGAAAATGTCGAGGCTACCACAATTTTTTGAATTATAAGCTAACTTTAAATGCTTATAAGTAAAAAACCATTTTATTTTTATAGCCTCTATTATTATTTCTGAATTCTTTTGAACATTCTAAGATGAAAATCCTAATACGAAAATATCGAGGCTGTAATAGTTTTCGAATTACACACTATCTTCAACCATTATAATTCAAAAGTTATTATAGCCTCGACATTTTGGTATTAGAATTTTCGTCTCAAAATGATTTCAGGAATCTCCCCTTAAGCGTTGTTCGGGTCTTTATGGGACATCCTCTATATTATTTTATTGTCAAAATTGATTGCAATGTGCCGCTATATTTAGATGTTGGATTATATAATCCAGTATAGTGTAAGTGACTGAATCATCATTAACAGGGTGTTTACTATCTGGAAAAATCTGAAATTTTTAGAGAAATTCTTTTTTATCCTTGATAAAAAAATCCAGAAATTTATATGGAATTTTATTAGGATTCAGAGAAATGTTTGGAATTTTATTTTTTAAGTTTAAATTGTTTGTTTCTGAAAACATTGTTTCTTGATAATACAGAATATTGACAATCAGTTAGCAATAAATGTATCTCGCGAGTTTATAAAAAAAAAATGACAATAGAAAACAATACTCTGCATAATAGAATAGTTAATTAAAATGCTGTATGTATACATCGCAATACCCTTTCCTACACTATAGATTTTGTAGAATGCTTCTACTAATTTTCAAATATAGTTTATTTAGAAATTAGTAGAAGATTTAAGTTGCTTGCACTCTAATTTATTTCTAAGTTAGATTGAAAAATTCTCTAATCTTTTTTACCTGGAATTTCGAACAAAAATGCTTGAAAAACCCGGGAATTCTCACGAAATTTTTTCACAAAATTAATCAGCAATCACCCTGATTAGACAATAAATTGAATAATATCATTTCCTTCAGATAGACAGCCTTACCTTAGATAGACTAGGATTGCCAGAGGTGTAATAGATTAATCTTGGTGTGCCTGCCAGGGAGGAAGCGAGCCATTGAATAACAAGTTTCAGTTGTGGATCGCCTTTCAATCTACTCCCGCATCCCCAGTTGCCGGTAGCCACAGGTAATAAACCTCCGCCTTGGGGACTATTTTCATGCGGCAACTATGCACATGATAAAACAATCTACTATAAATTATTTTGTCGCCGTGCGCACGTCAATGTTTCTTAATATAATATACATAATTAGTAAAGATTTTTTAAGTTCTTGCCGTTGGGAATGTAATTATCGGATGTCATTAAGATTTCTAGAGATACACGCAACATACAAAGCTAAATGGTTATTATCGTTTTAGTTCACATGGAGAATTATTCTGCCTTTTATCGTAACGATAAAGAGAAGAATGTATATGGACGGTATTTTCGCCCTTGGTGGTTAATAACAAATAAAACAAAAGAATGAGAAATGTGTGAGTGAAGAATTGTAAATCAGATAGACTGAGAGACAGATAAATGTATTAGTTCTCTAAGGATCTTGAACACGAGGAAAATGCTGATCTCAATTTGCGCGTCATGCATCAAGTCGAGAGACAAAAAAAGAACAAAAAAAATTGAAGAAATAAAGACAGTCTTATCCCGACGAGTTACATCTTGGCCGAAGAGTCCCAAGCCATAGAAAATGCTCTTTGTCCAAGCGATTTTAAATAACGGATCGAACACAGTTGCTGTCTCATGCATTGCGATTATACACGTGATGCGATCAAATCATTAGAATCACCTGCGAGACACCGAGCGTGCTCGCTTCGCGCATTTCACGCTCGTTCGCCGTCTGTTCCGACTCGGACACGGGCGATGTAGACAGGCGTACGGTCGTATGATCATCGACCAACGTTTGGAACACTTCCGACGTGAACGTGACAGCCCAAAGTTTCCTACGTTGGGCGTCCCTCGCCTCTCTTTCCATCTCGCACGAGGCGTCCTCGTAGCGATCTACGTCTTCGAACTCAGACACCTATATAGCATTTCGACTGTTTATAGTCTAAACTCGAAATTTTTCTTTTACCGATTATTCTGCATTAGATTAGTTTCGCTCAACCAAATCAATTTGGACTGTCTCTCATTCCATCTTACTGCTCATAACGAAAGTATATTTCGAGGGTATATCTGTATGTTTTTATAATACAAGTGTGTCTGTATGTTTACACAGATTAAGGATGCTAAAAGCTTGTCAAGTTTGTTTTAGTTCCCAAAAGAAAGCAGTTTCGACTTAATATAATGAAGACTGAAGCAATAACTGAAGTAATAACTCAATCAACACCAACTAAAAGTAATATGATGTCAATGTTATAATTTCGCACTCAATAGTGTAAATATAACACATAATGTTATATTGTTGAATACGAAATCATAACATTGATATTATATTATTTTTAGTTGGCTAAGAAATTTTGATATCTTAAGTGCTTCCTGCCAGAAAAAAAAAGAAGTCGCGATTGTGTTCGTGATTATTTATACAAAGTGAATTTTATCGTGAGGAACTAAAAACTTGAGCATTTCTATTCTACTAAAGCTTTGAATATCCAGAAAATATCTACTTTCTATTAATTCAGGTATCTCTTTCGCAAAGAACATGTAACGTGTTTAATCGAATTTGTTTCTTACTGATTGCTGTCTCCGATTTTTCTGTCGAGCGAGCTCCAAGCTGAGGCTCCTCACAGCTAAGGCCAGTTTGTGCTGCTGATTTACGTCGGCGTCGATAAACGGCTGTGGCTCGCCTTCCTGGACCGGCACGCCGGCAAACGATTCGCTCAGAGCGCGTTTCAGAAGTGAACCGGCGAACCGTACAACCGCCCGATCTCTCGCATCTAATTCCCGGTTTTCGTCCGCTACTATCGGATCCTCCAGCCACTTTGACAATTGCTCGTAGACCTCCTCCAGCTCGGAACAAAAATCTACGCGCGTGAAAGTTTAGGTTTTTCAATTGGTTCATCCTCGCCAAGGGCAAATGTGTGTAAACGATCTTTATCAAATTATACTCGCCAGAATTGTACTCTGTGCTGAAACTGTACTTGCTGCTCGCACTCGTGTCCTTCCTCTGAAACATAGGCCCCTGACTCTGTCGGAATCGGCCAAGCCACTTTTGCTCAGCTTCCAGAGACTCCTTCAGGAACTCTTCGTCCACCGTCTCATCCCGCAAAACGAAACCCCTCGAACCTCCTCTTCTCAATCTACAAAGTTAAATTCGGTAAAATCCAAATGATACATAAAATGTATTCAAAAGAAATGGTTTTATCTAAAAACTTTGCTAGATACAGATTTCAAAATGATTTTGTTTGAAGCATCAAAATAAGCTGTTGCAACGGATTAACGAAGTAATACAATGAAAAATCTGTAATCTGTATTGGAAGAACATTAAAAATGCAAAACAACTGATATATGTAATTTCCTTATTGAACTCATATTTTGCCTCAGTAGAGCTAAGGATATTTATTGCTGAAAACAAAATTTGAAAAAATTAAGCCATTTATATTACTTTATTAAACATCTCATTGACTTTAACTTTTAATCAATTTGACTAAAAGTTCGTATTTGATTCATATTTTGTCTTGGTGGAGCTACGATATTGAATATCTATTGTTAAAAACGGAATTTAAAAAGCCATTTTTGAAAAATTTTGTAGATGAATGAACGGACGGTCGGATTATCACTATGAAAGTATAAAATATAAGTATATATTAATATGCTGTACTACTTAATAATGTAGAACTCAAAATAGTTGCTAGAATGAAACGAAATCTTTTGCAGCATTATCATCAACATTTAAAACTCTACATAATTATTTTGATGATCCAACAAATTTATCTGCAAATCTAGCTAAATTTTTAGATTTTTCAGTAAAACCGTTCTTTTCGTGTAATATAATTAAAAATATTATCAAAATCTTTCATCGTTTAATTGCTTTTATCGTTGAACTGCTCAAACTTTAAGTATATATTAATATTTTTTCACGTAATTTAGCGCCAATATTTTTTTATGAATTTCGACTCACTTGATGTCTTGATCGCCGACGTGGCTACCGCTGACGCTTATACCAACGGCATAACTGCTCTCGCCGGAAGAAGTGTTCGAGGAAGTCACCACCGTCGCTGTACTCTCTCGCTTAAGAGCATCTTTCAATCGCTGCGCGAAGGTTCCTCTTTTTTCGGGGGTATCTAATTGCGCGCTGTAGCGTTTGGTCACCTTCTGTTCCTCTTCCTCTGAAAATTGTTCGGTTAATAGAAACACACATTTTTTTATTTTCTTTCTATAAATCATCCCAGAGTTATTTTATCGTACGCGTACCAGGTTCCTCGTCGATGGTCTCCTTAGCGCTGTGAAAACTATCCGTGCTCTGACTGTTGCAACTGCTATAAACCGACATCTGGCCGAGTTGTCGCGTCACCGGCAGTACCTCACCGCTAGATCCAAGCACGATGAATCTGTTCTTTCGGTTCGTGTAACTTGCGTCCTTGCACACCTTGTGCGGACTAGGCGGTCTCATTGATTTACCATTAGGCTTACTACGCACTTCCGTCGCGTTCTCCAATCTGTGTCGCTCGTCGCGGAGAACCTGCTTATCTAACCGTAGAAGAAAAGGCAGATCGTAGACGCCGAAAGACTGGTTTCAGCGAATTATGCACGGAAAATTATACGCGGTCTCCCACCTGTCTTGGAATTATTGCTCGTTGTGAAAACTTTGTCCTCGCCTTCCATTTCCGGCGGCGTGCTGCTGAAGCTCTCGCCGATCGGCGATAATCTGCGGGAGCCCAAGCCGATTTCCGCTTCCAGTTCACTCTTGATCGGATCCGTGGGGCTGCTGGGCATGTGTCTCTGACGAAATCCCAGCAGCGACTTGTTCATCTCCCTCAAGATGTTGTCCTCCTCGTACTGCGTCAACGGCAATCGCGAGTAGTCCTCGGGATCTATGCAGCAGACCGTTACCTGCGCTCGGAAAACTGTACGATTGTTTGCCTTCCCATCGCAGATAGCGTGAAAATCCGCGCGAATCCGAGATCCCACACTTCACTCACCACGTTCGGCTTCGAGATACCCTCAAATATCGCCTTATGCCGCGGATCGTTTATCCTCGACATATGCCTGACACCCTCGATTATTAGTACTTCGTTGTCTTCTAAGGCCTCGACGGATATTATCGCAGCGAGCATTTCCGGATGTGTCGCTATCTGCAAAAAGAATCAGATTTGCAATCTCGATTTGATACATACACACATTAATTTTAATTATATATATCAATATATTAAGAGTGAATCTAGAGTTCAAAAGAAAATAATTCCAAGACAGGTGGGAACCTGGAGATGATCTGTAATTTATTCAAATTCTTTGACGTCTATAATCTTTATATCTAGAATAGATTTAAACTTTTTTTTAAGAATTCATTGAAAGAGAACACTTAGCAAATTTTCTCTAATTTATTACAAGTCATAAATAAAGTCTAAACAACTTGTGTTTATCTTTTTCTGAATTCTAGATTCATCAAAATACTGATATATAATTAAGAAGATTCTTAACGCTTTAGGTCCAGTTCCACAACTCACGGTTAACTCTTAACCGAGGTTCAACTTGTTTCTCTTTTCAATTCTAGAATTAGAAAAAGACAATGAATAAGTTGAATCTTGGTTAAGAGTTAACTGTGAGTTGTGGAACTGGGCCTAAAAGTTACAATTATAATTTTTTCTAATTAGTTACATGTACAGTCTCCTGCGTGACATCGCCATCCAGCACGCCGCCGCCAATTTTAGCATTCACGAAGCAAACTTGCAGTACTTTTGATTCCGCCTCAACTCGTTCCAATCGTCCCTCGTGACGTATCGTCAGCGGGCATAAAGGTACGTTACTTTCCAACCAATCTTCGATAGTCAGCCATTGCTTAGACGTCATTACCTGCGAAATTATTAAATTTTATATTTTGCATTTTGTAAAAAAAGAAATGAGAGGGAGACGATTTCAGAATATGAAATAAGAATTTAAGAAAATATATCAATATGAATCGTGCATCGCATACCTGTCTAGAAATTATTAGACGACCATCGAGTGCTTGCTCCGTCTCGAGATAATTATAATAATGAAAAATACTTTTGAGTTTGGCTTTTTGTGCGTTTCTGGAAAACGATAAAATATTTAAAAGCTTATCTCGCTTTTTCCCTTCTCTTAAACTCAAAATAGCAGATTTCTTTGACGATTTGGTGCGTTCGGGAATCACTCACTTGTGGAGGTGTCTGAAGAAATTTGTAAAGTTAAAATCGCGCAATGTAGGGTGAGTCTTCGCTGTTCTCTTCGGATATGTTGAGAAGAATGCGTTCGCGATCAAGGAGGAGACGAAGGCGTAACTGTACTCGACGCTGTCGCCTACGTAAGATGAATTCATTTTTGTATTATCGAAGTCTACTTGTATCTTACAAGTAAAAATTTTTCATAATTTTTCATATTTAAAAAAATTTTTATACTTGAAATTTATGAATATTTCTAAAATATATCTTAAATTTCTTCAGATTTTAAGTATTCTTCGGAAATTATAGACTAAAATCGTAGAATATCTCAGAATTCACATATATGTATAAAAGAAGTCTAGAAAAGCTATAGATTTTCTCAGTACTCAGTATTTCTGAAAAGCGTTCCAAAATAAAAAAAAATTGAGAAAGTTTCTAAAAAATTATAAAATTATACAGAAATTCTGAAAAATTTTGAAATATTATATAAAAATTATGAAAAATTATATAAGAATTCTAAAAAAAATTTTCACCAGGATAGATATATATTTATCTTGCAAGTTATTTGTAAGATCGTTAAAAATAGTTGAATAGTAAGGTACTGTTTTATATGACTACAATATTTTGAAGAATGTCGAATCTCGGGATACCTTGCTGCTGGAGACTAAAGTGTAAGCCTTGAGGGGGTTTTGTAGATTTTAAGGCCTTCGCCTGTTCCACTATTCGTGGTATTGTCTTCGTGAATACTTGCTCCCGTTCCGCGAGATCGAGATCATTGTCTAGGAAGGTTCCTAACATGGAGAATAGGTCGGCGTCTTGCACGTCTTCTTCGGGATCGAGGCTTATACTGAACGAAACAAATGCATTGCGTGTTTCAATGCACCGTAAAAGCAGTTACGAATTTCGTTATTATTTATTGTGTACGATACTATATAAATGATTATTTAACAATCTATTTTTTTCCATCTTTATATCGCTCCTTTACTTCAAAAGTGATATACAAAAAATTATAAGTTTCCTAGAAAAAGGAAAAAACTACCTTCAACTTATCGGAAGACTATTGTGATTAATCAAATAATATCAACAAAAGGAATATATTTTTAATAAGATTTTTGTTATTTTGGTTTCACAATACTTAAAAAAAAAATCACCATTTTTTAGTTGTAACAATTTTAATTCACTTTTGGCATTTGATTTGAAAATAATGTTTACCTAACTCATTCGTGATAATAATTTTAAGTCACTTTTTTTTTAATTATATCACTTTTAAAGTAAGGAAGCGATGTACAAAAATGGTTTTAAATATCCAGTAAATATTTAGTTAGATTTGAAAATAATTTTGTTGAACAAAATAATTATATAAGACACTCAAATTAGTTGCTAGAATTTAAAAATTTTTTGCACATCATTACTCATTTTGAGATTCCCACGTAATTATTTTGACGGTCCAATCAAATTATTTTCAGATCTGTATTTAGTTAAATTTTTAGATATTTCAACCAAATCATTCTTTCCATGTAGCACTACTCTGGAATAGAATTTCATTTAGAAAAGCAAGTATTAAATATATATATGTTAAATATAAGTATTTACATAAATATTTTTTAAAATATAAAAACATGGTATGCGTTAAGAAGCGATGAGAACGAAAAGTAAGTAAGTAATGCGAGTCGTACTTGCACATATCATGCAATCGTTGCATCGCGTCTACTAGGTCCTCTGAGTTTTTAGCCGAGGCGGCCTTGTCCAATTGCTTTACAACAGCTGGCCACCAAGGCAGGTCACACGGTAACATTACTAGAGCCATTGTGGATCTGTGAGGCACAAAAAAATAATCGGAATGTATAATTTAAGCGGAGTGACCACCGCCTTACTTGTCAGATGGGTTGCAGTCCTTGTCAGAAAGACGCGTCGAACGGACCTTTCAGAAGTTAGTGCAATGTGCAATTTTTCATGCATCCAACGAGACGGTATACTTTGGAAATGCGCTGATCGATTTGGATTTACTATCGTGGCGTGATATGTCAAAGTTATGCGTGATGGACGTGCCGAAGTAGCGCGATCGTGAAATAAAACTAGCCGGGGGAAAGTATTATAATCGGTCCCCTCCTTACTCATAAATCTTCCGTTCCATAATCGTCTGATGCATTTACATGCGAATTGCAGATTTATTTAATATAATCAATTGATAATTTCTTTTTTTATTATATGATTCAAATCGAAATCAATCGAAGCTTAATGAGTATTCATGTTTCAATAACTGTTATCCATAAATCTTTATTATACTTAAAAAATTCCTGATTTTAACGTAATAAGTCGAACAAGACCGTTACGTGAATAAATCATTTACATAAAGGAAAGCGAAATATGATCGAGATTAGATTTTAGTGTCTATAATAACATTTATACGTAAATATTCCGATAAATACTAACAGTGATATAACACCAATGTTATAATTTCACACTTAACATAAATATAACACGTTGTACATAACAGTTACATCGAGTGTGAAATTATAACATTGGTGTTATGTTACTATTACCTTATGTTTACTGGGACATTTTCTAATTATGTAAAACTGCACACCAATTACTGCCGGACTTGAAACGTAATCATAAACTAAAGCGGAAATAATAATATCACACATTAAATTAACGTCAATTTAACCCGTAATATATATGATAATATTCCGGTCTTTTACTGCACACGATGGGACGTTCGTGTCTTGAGTTAATTTTCAAATATGCAAAAATTATTAAGTGATGTAACAATCATATACTTTAACATCTTTAGAAAGTATCTATGATGTTGTGTATTAAAAAATAAAGGAAAAAGTACAAATCAGTATTTAGCTAAATACTCCTAGATTAAAAAAAAAAAGAAATACACAGGACATGAATAATCTCATCGTGTATTAAAGATTAATAATGATTAGACATCAAGATTTAATCTCGACTGTAATTGATCCTTCGCGTTTTGATCGTAGCGTTTAGATCGCATCATCAGATCATAGGTGCTAAAGCCTTAAATTTTGAGTACGTTTAAAATTTTAAACTCCTTTTTTTAATTTTTATGGATTTTCAATTTCGCAAACTCGTGATGTGTTTAAATAATAAATATTAAGTGAAGTTCTCGATGTCCAAATAACTCTTAAATATTTAAATTTTTAATTCCAGAAAATGGAATTCAAATTTTCGATCGTACAGCCAGATGCTAAAGTCTTAAAAATTTTGGATACGTCTATATATTTTTTTAAATATCGATTCCACGATGCTTTAAACGTCTAGCAGATTGGACGCAAAAGAATCCGGGTTTTCTCATTACGTCAATTATTATTTTTCGATCTTATCCCACGCGTCTAAGGCGTCGTCATTCGTATTCCCTCTCGAGAGGAAAACGCCTGGTCACGCACGCAGGCGCAGGCCGGAGGGTTGGCTGGTTAGTAACCTCGTCCCACGAGGCGAATATAATTAGTCTCTCTTTCACCGGGGAGGGAATTCACCGGTCGTCGACGGGACGGCGACGACGAGCGTGCGACGGGCCACCACCGCGGACCTCCAGAGCGCTGAGCTCCGTTTACATAATCACCTCCTTTGTCCCTCGCGGTTTACGTCGGATCAGCTGACGCGTATAAACGACGGGTCTCACGTCTTGCGCTCCGTCGTCGCGACGACGTTGATCACCGACGGTGATGATCCCGGCGTCCTGATCGCGAAACGCCGGCACATAGTCGAGCGGGAGAGGGTGACACACGACGGCACTCTCGCGTTTCGCTACCCCACCGGCAAGGACCAATCCCGCGAATCCGGCAATAGGGTATCCCCGTCCCTCGTCGACCCAAGTCTCTCTCTCTCTCTCTCTCTCTCGCGATTTGCGCGAAATCCAAGACTTTGCGGGGTCGATCTTTTAGAGGCTGAAGTATTCACGATTCGGGTTCGCTCCTCGACTCACAACCGATCGAGACACCTCCGGACTCCGAGAGACGAGGGTTTTTTCCTTAGAGGAGGAAATCCGGAGTATATACGAGTGCGTCGCACCCTCCCGTCGGCTCGATTGATCGTCGTCGCGGCCGTAGCGGAGCCAAGCAGAGCGGAGCTGAAAGGCGCCGCGCGAGTAGCGAACCGTTACTACTGGGGTCTGGACTACTACCCGTTACTACTGCCGTCGCACCGCTCGCTGTCCGTAACCACTTCCTCGTCCCCCGCGCGATTCCCAACGCTCTCTCGCCTCGTCTCTGTCGCTACTTTAACCGTCGTGAGCGGCGGTCAGCGTTGCACCAGCTATTTATCGAAAACGGCGCCGGCGCCCTGCCAAACTCTATATAGATATGGTGTAGTAAGTCAAAAATTAACCAAATTACCCTGGTCAGACCAAGACAAAAGTCTGCGCGTCAGTCACGTGTTTTTTAAACAGAGTTGAGTGGTAACTAGTTAATAAGTTGAAAGTTAAAAAGTTCGTAACTTTTAACTTAATTTAGTTATTTTTGCCTGCTTTTAAAAAGGTCAATGAATTAAAAGCAGGCAAAAATAACTAAATTAAGTTAAAAGTTACTAACTTTTTAACTTTCAACATTTAGAGTGATCTGATTTTAAGAAAAATTAAAATATTCTGATTTAATAAAAATATTTTTCTAAATTAAATTTTGTTTAATTTGAATTAATTCAACATAACTTTAACTGAGTTAGTTTTTTGTTCACTTAACTTTTATAACTGAATTGAATTAATTTTATAAGTTATCTTATGTAAATTAAAAATATTAATTTACTTTAAAATTGTTTTTAAAGTTTTGAAAAAGCATATGATTATATTGAATTTTATTCGATTGTTTGTTAAAATTTCTAATTCCTTTCCCGGATGAGCTGAAATTTTTTTCAAATGTGAACTTGAGATGATACATATGATTTTTTTAAATATAAAGAATTATTGGTTTTAACATGTTCTGATTAATCCGACATTTTAGTAATCTTAATTAGAGATTTGAATAATTTTTTGAAAACATGGCAGTCTTAGACATCATATCGCATCTTCAGCAATGTTGACAGGATTCTGTTTCTTCATTTCTTTCTTTCTTTACAGTAGAATAATTTTTTCTAGATACCTTTGTCTAACAAATTTTTGCAGATTTAACTCAAAAATTTGTTTTCAGAAAATATTGTTTTTTAAAACATTATTATTAATTATATTTTGAAAAGATCACTAGGACTTATATATTCCAATTACGGGTTGAGAATAGATAAGCTGTTATCTATGTAGTAGCTCTTACAATGGGATGAGCAATTCTCTTCGGAGTTATTATCTAAATCAGAACTATATATATATATATTATACTTTTGCCTGCTTCAAAGTTAGTTGCAAGATTCTATGGGCGGTATTCATAATCCGTTCTTATTTCAAGACTGTCTTAAGTAATGTCTTAAGACATTAATACGGCTCTCTAATTGATTCGTGACTTCTTAAGACTGTATTTAAGACAGTCTTGAATATAAGATCTGACTACGAATACCGGCTTATAGGATGTCCGTAAGCCGTACTTCATTCAAGAGCTCTTCTAAACTGTCCAAGTATCGATGTAGAAGACTACTACTATACCGATAGTAGGTTGCAGTAACTCGAGCATATTTGAGCAAGGAAAAATGCGATATCTTGCTTTTTGTATTTTAATCTCGGAGTAAGACATATTCACATTAACATATTTACAAAAACGATGAATGGTCGTCGTTTTTTTCAGCAATGATCAATCTGCAACAGAGATACGTCTACTGACACGTTAACTTGGCGAGAAGAGCTAGTAATTCGATACGAAGCTAACAGTGGCAAACTATTGGCAGTTCGCCATTAGCAACCTTGTACCAGATTTATTTAACGTTTACTCATAACTATTAATACGTTGCATGCTTGTACACAATCTATCTTCAATATGCCCAGTCTATTCATCAATGATAGTTGTTTTTTTTTACTACGTATTATGTTATAGCTGTTATACAAACTAAATTCTCAAAAGCCAAAATCGATCAATTCTAATTTTTTTTAATTTTTTAATTTTGATATCCAAGCTTATGATTAGTTTACAATCCGCAGAACACAAACTAACGGATTACATCAATATTATAATTTCCCGTTCGCAGCAACATAAATATAATATAACACATGTTGTACATGACAGTTATATATTATTGAGTAGAAAATTGTAACATTGATGAATGTGACTGTTAGTTTTGCAGGAACTTTATTAATTCTCTTTATTCCGTTTTTATGGAGCTAATTGAATTCGATTTCTGAAAGGTTTATATTATACATCAAAAAGTAAAACACACAGTTACAGTTATTTAAAAACGACTTGTTTTTAGTGATTTCTTTGTTAATTTTTTTATACTCTTTGCATTGTTATTTTAAATATAGAAATCTTATACATTTCTAACGTTACTAAATTATTTTTCTTATTATATTAAGCATTCGATTATATGCTACATTTTTTATAATAAATTTATCCAATGTATCCAATATATACATTTGGAATCGAAATAATGGAATAGCGATAAATATTAAGACGTATTTACATGTTAAGAAGATTTTACTTAATAGGTACAGATATTTACAGAGTGTAATGATTATCAGAGGTAAAGATATGTATATCTTAATCACAAGAAATAATTACTAATTGTTCATTGAATAGTTCATTCAGTTCATATATTGACGAATAAGTGTAGTATGAAGTTATAAAAATAATTATAAAAGTATTAAATTAGTTATTAATTACAAAAAAATGTAATTAAATTAAATCACATTAAATGAAAAAGTAACTTTAACTGTAACTTTGTTATAAGTAACAAGACTAACAAGTTATTTCCCAACTCTGTTATACATATTTTACATACAATATAATAATTATATTATAATGTAATAATATAATATATGTAATATATAATACTTTTGAAATACTTTTCCGCGGATATATTTTCTTCAAAGAATTTAAACTACGCACTTTGCGGATCATTTCTGTGTCATCATTTGATACTTCTTTATAAAAATATCAATATATAATATAATATAATATATAACACAATATACAACACAGCATAGTATGGTATACACATTAAGCGAATAAATATTACAGTAATGTAATACAGCATTCACGTTAGATACAATCGCGTCATAGTCACCAGTAATCGTGGCAATTACGATATCGCAACATATATATCGTAATTTCCTACGAATCATCGTTTTGTAATATTTAATGCCATACATTGTGTTCCGCCACTGTGTGCACAAAAGCGAATAAATTAGAGCGTTTCGAAATGCGCTGCGGGAGTGGGCTAAGCTTTTGGATCGGCGCGCTCGTACGCGCGGAGATATCAACGCCCGATCGAGAGAGATCTCGCTTAATTCGCATAATTGGAATTGAAATCTCCGTCACTACGTCATCGTGTGAAACCCACTCGGGGGCACCGCATGTTTTTCTTTCTCTATAGTATTTTACATATTACATCGTGTATTTTTGCCGCGTGTCGCTCGCCTTCCAAATATCGGAGGTGGACGGGAATGTGAAGGAAAGTGACGCAGGAAAGGAAGGTCTGAAGTCGTCAAATTTCTTCGCTTTTAACCATAAACGAGGAAAGGAATATTAAAAGAACATTTATTGATGAAATCATGAAAATATACGTTTATTTAATTAGAAATCAGCGCGTTTTACTCGCGCTCAAGATAGGAATCTGCTTAAACATTATCGCTCATCAATCTTCATTCAATTATGGATAAATAAGCGTTACAGATCGATAAGCTGTTATACCGCACTATTATGGTTGTGCTGAGGAGACTCTCCTCCTATTAGAAAATTATCCAAGGAGAACAAGATAATCAAATAATGTTAATATCAATTTCCTAGCTCGAACTTGCAATGCAAATATAATAAACTGATAGAAACGAGCAATTAATTAGGTCAAAGATCAAAACTATAGTTTATTAAAACGTCAAGAAGGGATTAAAACTAATTATTCATTAACACACATTAATGCAAGATCCTTGCATTGTATATTAATGGATAATTAGTTTTAATCTCTCTTTGTCACTTTAATAAACTAGTTTTAATCTTTGTGATCTATAAATTAACTACTTGTTTGTTTGACTTTTCTATTAATCTCAAAATAATGTCATATGGATTGAATCATACGACAAAAAATGACATAATTTCGGTTCATATCACGTTAAATTTACATTATTTTGACTTTCTTGTTTTCTTTGGATATACTGACGTGACAAACGCACCGGATAGGGTATGAAATGCGCGAGCTAAACACCGACGTTTATTAAAACGTCATCCACCGTTTAGATGCAGAGAAATTCGCCTGTTCGTATGCAGCACAAGCGATTACGGTTCCGACAGGTGCCACCACCTTGCGGAACCGTTGGCTTCTGCTGCCTAGAACTCAGGAAAGTATCGCGAGAACTTGTTGGATCTAAATTATTTAGGTACAATGTAAGAAAAATATATATACGCCTGCAAACGAAATGTGTAAGTCACTTGATTATTTTAATTTAAATAGATCGATATTATATATTTATTCCCACGTTATCTTTCACGAATAAGATCGATAGAAACGTTTATAAAATTCTACAAAATAGAATTGTCAATAGACTTGGTATCTTCATGAAATTTTGAAAAATCTCGAACCTTTTCTCACCGATCGCAAAGGAATCGTCGATCGTGTGCGACTGTTAGTTGCCATCGACTTCGGCGAGTCTTTCGTGATTTAAAATTTTAATCGAGCAACAACCCGGTAAAAAATTTTTTATACATTAATATGTATAAATATGTATAAACATACATAAACACGCATAAATATTCATAATCATGAATAATTATACATGAAATATGTCCATACATCTTTCTTTCTTTTGTAAAATTACTTTTTAGTGTACACTGAAAAAAATGCATGTAATTTTACATGGAAATTACATGTATACGACTGAAAAATTATCTAAATTACATAAATATGCTTGGAAATTTACTGGAAATTGTAAATTTCCAATCATATTTATACAATTTTCCAGTCATGAACATGTAATTTCCATGTAAAATTACATGCATTTTTTTCAGTGTACTAAAAATAATAATAATATTGAGAAAACATCAAAAATAGTTAATGGGACTATTTTCGCATTGTTTGTTTTAGAAAAAAATCAAGTTTGGAAAAATGTAAAAGAATTGCTCATATATAGTTGCATGTAAAATTATACATAGTTATGTATGAGCAAATTTTTTTACATTTTCCCAAACTTGATTTTTTCTAAAACAAACAATGCGAAAATAATCCCATTAACTATTTTTGATGTTTTCTCAATATTATTATTATTTTTAGTACACTAAAAAGTAAATTTTACAAAAGAAAGAAAGATGTATGGACATATTTCATGTATAATTATTTATGATTATGAATATTTATGCGTGTTTATGTGTGTTTATACATATTTATACATATTAATGTATAAAAAATTTTTTACCGAGAAATTATAAAAAAACGTCCAATTTTTAATCTTTCGTCTAGGAACGTGTTTGACAACACGATGTCGGCGCCATATTGTTCGTGGCTACGGTCCTGCACCCATTACAATCGCGCGGACTCCACGATCCCACAACGGGCGATTGTATCGGAGAGCTGCCGGAGAACGAAAGAGGAAGGGGTCTCCATGTCGGTTCAGTGAGCTCACGCACGTCGAACACTCATCAACGCACGGCGCCGCGGCGGTAACGTCCAAAAATGGCGTTCCTCGCGTAACACAGTTCACCGTCGTCGTCGAAGTCCGTTGCCGACGTTCGCCAACGTCGTCACGAGCCCATCGACCTGGTGGAGCCGCGAGGCGCCAGTCCGAGGAAGAGCCCAACGTAAATATACCAGTTCGCATACCGTGCGTTCCTACGTCCTGCGTGCGCGCGGTTACGTGGGCGGATGGATGCATGTATGTGTGTGTGTGCGTGTGTGTGTTTCCGTTGAGATACACGACGAGTATCCTCCGGATGAGCACGACATAGTGCAGTTCTACGTCGCTTCGAACAACTGGAGTGGCGAACAAGGGGACTCCGTTTATCGGAATACCTCTGACAAGGTGCTTGAACGATAAGCTTGTCCGGAGTAATCGTTGAATGAAGAATTTGTAGATGTTATCGATCAGCAACACTAATGTTATTTATTAATCCACTTTTACCATTATAGATTAACTTTAATCTCGGTGATTAACTGTAATTAATTTTAATTATATATCTGAGATATTTAAATACATATAGATGTATATTATTCCAACGTCCAACTTTTACTGTAAATTCCTCCTGTTGGTTCTCAGTGATTTTAATGAAACTTGACAGGATTATAGAGTGAATGTAATTTTCTGAATATAATGGTATCCTTATTTAGATGTAAACGGTCAATCGTTTATGAAATATTTCGATATTAAATTTAATAGTGACAGTTTATTACAGTTTATACTCGAGTTCATGGTGTTTTACAAATTTATGTTTTATTTGTTTTTAAATTAAAAGTAAATTTTTATCAAAACTTTCATAAAATTTGTAAAGATAGTAATACATAATCAAAATAATTTTTTTAAGAACAATTATTTATATCATAAATCATTATTATATAACAGAAAAAAATAATTGCTAGCGAGGTTAAACTCTCTAAGAAGCTATTATTATATTCACTACACTACAAATACCAGAGTATAAACGTTCTAATAAATTTTAATAAACTCTAACTGCCGCTAATAAATTTAATATTGAAATATCTTGAGAACGATTAACTGTTTACATCCAAACAGGGATATGATTATATTCAGGGAAACACTCTATAATCCTGCTAAGTTTTACTGAAATCAGAGAGAACCACTTCTGAATCTTCTCTTATTAGTTGCTTTAATTTATTATTTTTATCTTTTCTAATTTTTAAAGAAGTCTTACTTAGAAAAAGATAAACAGTAAGATAAACCGAAATTAAAGTTAATTGATAGAAATGTGGACATATATAAGTCATGCGTTTAATCTTGATAACTCAGAAGAACTATCAAAAGTAAAACAGACAATAACGAGGGATCTTGAAAAACTTTCTGTCTCGAAAATTTGCTAAACCAACAATTTGAAAAATGAAAACAAAGTTTTGAGTGGAATTAATTACTGAAAATCCACGAACTCCAATTTATGGGATCACGGAGTTTTCAAAACAAAGCAAGTATTCCTAAAATGCTTGCGGAATTTGTGTAATTTAAAATCGAAGATCAATTACGATTTTAGGGACCTATAAAATTATTCTTTAAAATAATTAATATCAAGAATCTTGCACAAGAAAAACTTTAAAAGATCGATCTGTGGAGAAAAAAAAATTATGACTTTGCAATCATAATTTTAGAATTCTAAGAATATTTCTGAAAAATTTTCAACAATTGAATAAAACTAAAATCTACCTACGAAGTCCAGAATAAAAAAAATATGAAATACATAAAGAATCATTCGCGCAAGATCCACATCGCGTGCGAAAATCCATATTTGCGTGTCATTCTCCAATGAAGCAAGATTCTGATAAATGGAGTTCCACTGTTACTTTACACAGTCTCTTCGATTTCATGCCGTTTATTACACAATCGCCGTTCAGCGTGCGAATCGCCTGATAATAATCTTCCTTCGAGCTGATGAATGAAACGACCGATCGCTTAGATCGATTGATCTACGTTAATTTTTCAGCGTTCTCTCGGGCGACGTGAATGACGGACGGGATACGTGCGTGTGTGGTGAATAAAATTTAAGATCGCGGTGAAAGTCGCCGCGTGTATCATTTAGTGAATTTGATTCACGAGTGTCGTTCACGTGCGGATGCGCGAGAGCGATTCTTGTTTGATTTCGCCTGACGCGTTCTGATAAACGTCGAGATCTTTCCCACTCCGCGCGATATCATAGAAATGTGAGTGTATTTAAAAAAATTACAGTAATTCTTTTAAATTCTCTCGTGGTGTTCTCTATTACGTCTCAATTACGCTGCCCTTCTCAATCACGGTTATCGAATCACGCGATCTTGGGTCGAACAATTCGCCGTACTTCGCCGGGTATTACGTAATACATGCAAAAACATCGAGGGAGGTTAATTAACACTCGGATTCTTAGTGGCTTATTTGCGCCGTCGATTGCCCTGTGAAATCGGAAAGAGCCGACGTTATACTTAATCGCTCGCGACGCTCGCACGTCGAGGTCTTGAGCTGCTCACCGTAGATTTTTACGCACTTACGCAAGCGTCACCGGTCAGACGAGCCTTTGAGATAACAATGATGTCATGCGGCGATGAAACAGCTCGCCGCTGGTGCACGGATTACGCATAAACAGATATCACGGAATATCACATGCGCGGCACGTATAATACATACAAATAACGTACATAGAAATTTTTATGTTCGCAGATTATTAAGACAATTCTACATTTTCAATAGCAAAATTCTCATGTTTTAGCCTTCGAATGCTATCAATATTGAGTGATACAGTATTGCTGATATGTAAATTTTACGTACAAGGAAATAGGCTATTTTTAATACATTCAATATTTTTAATGAAAAAAATTATTTATAATTTAGACTTTTGTAAATATAGCAACTGAGTTCTTTGAAGGACCTGAGGATGTCTTTAGGACATAGGCATCTTCTGGACGTTTTTAGGATGTTCCTTGGAAAATTGTGTTATGGAAATGACTTAATTATTAACTTCAAAGGAAAGAAAGAATAACCACATTCAGTTTTATTTTGGAATATATTGTCCAATGTCTTCTTATGTAATACTTAAAATATGTAAGACAAATTAACCTTTAGACTGCCGGCATTTTTTCATTAAAATAGTGGTTCTTTTTCCTCAAAAATTTTTCTATAAAAGTAACATACACATGACGCAAAATTTCGAGAATTTTGCAAAGCCACAAAAGTGGCTTTCCCGACAAGGAACGTACGATTAAATATGAAAAATGTTTATTTTCTCAAAAATAGTGTATTTGAGGGTTTTTGGTATCGTTGATTTCAATTCCGAGTACAGATTTAGAAAATTTCGAACCTTAAACGTAATATTGACAACATAAATGAATATAAACGTATAGACTTATGCAGAGAACTTTATTTAGCATTACCCAGAGCTAACGATAGAGCTAACATAGACATAAAAAGTTTATAGCTCCTTTTTGACTTTTCTTTTTTGTTTGGTTCTTAAACTTATTTTTTGTATTTTTTTTACTTTTTTCTTGTTTTATAACTTTTTAATATTTTTTACTTATTTTGTATATTTTTCAATACTTACATATTTTTATATATTTTGAGCAACATACGTATATATATATTTAATACAATTAATATTTAAAATACTAAAAATGGTATTTTAATCTACACTCAAGAGCCACAAAAGTGGCTTTCCCGGCAGTCTAAAGGTTAATACTGATATATATCTACATGAAAGAATGGTTTTACTAACTTATCTAAAAATTTTGTGTTAGATCTGAAAATAATTTTGTTGAACTATCAAAATAATTATGTAAAACGCTTCAACTAGTCGTTAGAATGTCAAAACATTTTGCAGTATTATTATCAAGTTTGAGTCCCACACATAATTATTTTGATCCAATAAAATTATTTTCAGATATTTAGCTAAATTTTTAGATACTTCAGAAAAACCGTTCTTTCCGTGTAACAGAATTTTTAAAAACTTGTCTCCGCTTGTCCTAGTTTTTAGTGGCAGATTGGACCTTCTAATGACCATTGAAGGCATAGCCTAGCGCTCAATGACCTCGCTCACTTATACGTACAATTTACGATAGCATTCTAAGATTGACGCACCTGACTGTTGAGACACCGTCTGACTCAAACGACGCCGGAAACGTGAATTAGCCTCAGAAACGAAATCCGGTTCCCTGATAACATCTAGACGCGAGCATCGTGTTACGATTCTTGTATTGTTACAATGCAGTAAAAGTAAATTGCTGCAACCTAAATTTTAATGTTAATAAAAACTTTTTACTATTATTTGATACACGAGCATCGAAGCGCCGCGAGTGAGCGCCGTTTCATCGTAATTAACGGGTTTCCCGATAATGCCTTAGCACTTCATCAATTTTTTTCAGCACCTCCAGCGCAAGTGGACCGTCACACAACTCCAAAATGCAATGCTAAAAGTTTTTTTATTTTAATCATTTATTTCACCAAGCGCTCGGACACCTCGCGTGCCGCTTCTTCGTAATTGGTAGATTTTGTTTCAACGCTTTCTTACACCGTTTCTCCACACTCAGACCAAAAACATAGTGATGGCAACTATAAAGACGACAATTATCAAGTTTTATATGTAGAATTATACAGGAATTATACGGGAAAGTCACTAGTTTTTTTGAAGTCACTCAGTAGCGCTGAAACAGCATCATATTTTGAGGCAAAGACTACAATGAAATAAAGAATTATAACAAATCTTACTCAGGAAAAACTGTAAGATTTTAAAAATAGAACCTCATCTTTCAATGATTAATTATATAGTTGAATAAATTATATATTTTATAATTGCAATAATTATAAAATACTTTATTCAATATATACATTGTTACACATAAATTTATATAGTTGTCACTTTTATAGTTGCTGCCATTATGTCTTTTTTTCTGAGTGCGTTTGACTTGCGATTCCAGTGACTCGTCACCCAATTATACTCATTTCTGCCGGTATAGATTAACTCTAATCTAGGTTTAACTTACTTTACTTTGTCTTTATTTCTTCAGTTCTAAGAATGAAAAAAAAAGATAAAGAGTAAATTAAACCGAGATTAAAGTTAATCTACATTGTAGAAATGGTAGAAATGGACAACGGCGAATGAAATTAAAAAGGAGAGAAAACCGCAGAGTAGGTCCGAGAACAGACACGCGGAAATAGATTGTAACGCGAACAGATATTTATCTATTATATATTCTCGATGTTCGCCGGTTCGCAGGTGTACGCAAACACCAGCACTTTCACCGCGCGAAATTCTCTGGGATCTTCCTCACCGCGCCGCACAATGCACGACCGTTGCCGGTTTTTACATCGCGAGTTACATCGAGTTTCTCGTAGTGGGGCGACCTTAAAGGTCGCATTCGCAGGCCGCGAAACTTCTTGCGAAACACACTTGAGCATTTTGCACGAGCAATTAAACATTTCGTAATTTTTTGCTCGTTACTTCGGTACGTATCGTTTGTTCGCATGACGCGCGCTTAATCGAAACGATTAATTACAATTTGTAGCGATAAAAACGCGAGGTAGATTCGCAAACATTTTACGCAATTATAAATGTATTTTCTCTCTTTATAACTTTATTTCGTTTCAACTCGAGATTAAAGCATTAAGGTATTTAATGTTAAAGAATTTCAAAATTGCAGATGAAAAATCTGCCGACATGATCGAGCCAGTTCGCGTATAAATAGATATTATTTGCATATATAATGAGTGCAAAAGTATTCATACAAGAAAGATATCTTTAAAAAAATATTATTCTTCGAAAGTAAACATTAATTAGTAATTTATTAACACAAAAATAAAATAAATAGTAAATGAATTTATAAGGACTCCTTACTATTCAAAAGAAATTTGGAGAAAATAGGGCAATAGGAGTCAGGCATGGTAGTTGTTGCGCAAATAATATACCGATATAACACAAACCTCTTATAAAAAACGTGCTTATATGTTTCAGCTCATTTTTGAGCCCTTTTCAGAGATAAATCATCCTAATATGTACAATGTGTGCTTAATAACTATCTTATCATTGTAAGCTCCACTACACTAAAATCTCTGTACAAGAATTACACACAGATGAATGTTAAAAAGAAAGGAGAAGAATTATTGGAATAATCAGAGATAAGATTTTGGAAAACTTTTATAAATTTAAGCTACAATAAAAGTAAGGAAGCTCACCACGAGCATAAAACACCATATCGCAAACATTACATAACAATTATTAGTTTAAAAACCAGTTTTTAACTTGTTGGTCAGTCAGTGTCAGATAAAGTATGTTACTTTTAATATGTTTAAAATAAATAGTATTTTTTTCAAAATTATTTTACCTAAAGATGTAATAATTAAAATATATTATCTTAATAAAATAAGCAAAAATGAAGAATTACTGTTACTTGAAGGTACAAAGAATATTCGCGATATACAGTCGAAATTTAGCTTCTGAGACCATAAACACGATTGTTTTCGCGAAGTTCTTTTGCTTATATTAGAACAGAATGTATTCAATGTTAACTCATTACTAATTAATGTTTATTTTACAAATAAGACTTTTTTCAACAAAAATCATCTCTGTACGAATACTTTTTGCGTTCGCTGTAAATAATTGTAAGAACGTCTCCATAAATAACTTTCTTGAACGGTCTGATTAAGTCTTTAATCGAAGAGGAAAGCGTACAATTATCAAATTTTACCCGATCTACAAGATACATAAAATCGATCACGTGACAGGAACTCGAAAATGCAATCGACCGAGCAGCTGCGGCCAGAGCAGCTAGTGGGCCTGGTGGCCCGTTCGGCCGAGGGTACGGCTGCCAAGGGGATGCCGATCAAGGGCCACGAAGACCTCTGGGTGGAGATCCAGGCCAACACCTTTCGGAACTGGGTGAACGAGCACCTAAAGCACGCCGGCGACGTGGGCGGCGACCCTGTGCTGGACCTCGCCGAGGACTTCCGAGACGGTACGCGTCTCTGTGCTCTGGTCGAGGTGCTGACGAAACGCCGCCTGCCGCGATGGAATCCGCGACCAGCAAATCAACATCACCACCTGGAGAACGTGTCCACGGCGTTGCAGGCCATCGAGGCTGACGGTGTAAAACTCGTCAATATCGGTAAGCAAGTCACATGCAATTAATTCCTGTCGGAAGTAGAGTCATTGGAATACAAAGTGAATGCGATTGTGTCGACCAAAGTTGAATAATTTTATCATCAGTGACAGAATTTTAAACATTGAGTGTGTAAAAGTAGGGAACACTTTCAACGAGTCGCGATTCAAGTAAGATCAGCGAACGTAAATACGTTCAGCGTATAAATTTTTAATAGGTTTTAAATAATAATAATATATAAATATGTTATACGTGGAAAGAACAATTTTGCTGAAATGTCTTAAAAGTTTGGCTAGATACAGATCTGAAAATAATGTTGTTGAACCATCAATTGCATAGAAATCTCAAGCATGATGAGCAATGCTGCGAACAATTTTGACATTCTAGCAACCAGTTTGTTCGTCCTACATAATTATTTTGATGGTCCAATAAAATTATTTTCAAATCTGTATCTAACTAAAGTTTTAAATACTTCAGTAAAATCGTTTTTCCATATATAATCAAATTTATTGCATGTCATAATTTACATTGAACCTTAATTAATCCGATTCAGTCGGATCGATAAAGAATGTCTTATTTTTTTGCCTGCGGTCTGACATTCTGCCGTATTTCGTCACGGTGTAAGCGAGGTTCGCGACATATTCAAGATTGTGAAGAAATTGCCACCGTTCGAACCTTCGTATTTCTACGGTCCGTAATATAGGCAAAATACCGTGTTTTGTACAGATTGACGAGAATTGCAAGGGTACAGCGAAGCGAAGGCCGTCTGTTCGTCCACGGTCGCGCGAAACCGTCAAGGCGTTGCACGCGCTCAACGTCCAATTACGCTCCATAATTGGAACGACGTTATGACTTGCGTCTACAATGTGTATCCTGAAATATCCAGTTTGCCGTAATTCGCACTGAAAATTCGCGTAGGAATCGACTTAAGGCTTCTGTCGTTCGGATCATTTTATTACTTTTTAATTATTTCATATATGAACATGAATGCTCACAAAAAAAGAATTATGACGGCCATATCTTGGGTGATTTCCATTTGGTGACACATATCGACATGTTGTTTTTATCTTTGTTACTCACTGAATGTCAAGAAAGATAGAACGATGTTTGTGTCGACTTATGTCACTACATGAAAAGCCTAAGTCGCTTGTTTACTCGACGATTATTTATCTTGCAGAAGAAAGAAAAAACTTAGATAAAACTGATTGCATTTTTTATTGATAAAGCAGGTTTCAGGAGAGAGACGAAGAGAGATATATATTTTTTTACATTGAATCACATTAGTCAGAAATAATGTTTCACGCAGCATTAATATTTCAATGACTATTCTTTAATCTAAATATAAATGATAGAATTATGTTCCTGGCACTTTTCCGTTTTCTTTGATTTATTTGATCGTTGTTCGATAATATTAATACACTGCATCTTGCAATTTGCTCGCGAAGGTATATTTGTTTACCGTATTAATCAAGATTATCGAGAGTAACATATCTACAATGATACACAGAGATTGAACAGTTTTGCCGAAGTACCTAAAAATGTAGCTCGATACAGATTTGAAAATAATTTTGTTGTACTATCAAAATAATTATGTAAAAAATTCAAGCATGATGAATAATGTTGCAAAATTTTATTCTAATAATCAGTTTGAACCTACATAATTATTTTTACAGTTCAAAATTATTTTCTGTATTTGTAACTAAATTTTTTCCATTCCCAGATAATTATTTTAATGCTTCAACGAAATTATTTAAATTATTTTCAGATCAATATCTATAATCTACATTTTTAGATTTCAGCAAAACTATTCTTTCAGTGTATGAATAATATTTATTCGATTGTGTATTTAGTTGAATAATATTTATTCGACTCTTCTCTTTCTTCTCATCTTTATATAGCCTCTATATTATCTGTTTAATTTTTTTATAATCTCGATATACTGCAATTTGTTCGCCAACAGGAGATATATAATAAGCCACGTGGGTGAAATCCCGCTTCCCCCGTTTTCATTAACTCTCTCTCTCGCCGTGGCGTGCTGAGGTGCGGGAAAAAGGCGCACGCGTGAAATGCGTTATTAATAATAATATGCAATCAAAGTACTAGGGAGCCGCCGCGACGCATTCCACAGGTAATGAGTAATCGCTGGAAATGCGCGTCTTCCTCCTCTTTCGCGGGAGAAAAAACATAAATACTTAGGTGTATTTATCATACCTTGATCCGTATGCGCTGTTCACGTACGACTTTTTTTCTTCGTGCGTAATACTTTTGAAAAAAATAGCTTAAAATATCGTTCGTTCCTGATTGCGCACGTACGAACAAATTACCGCGTAGCGATTTGAATTGAACGTAATTTCGCGATACCCTCGCAGTTTAATTCGACTTCCCTGAATTCTCCTTTCTGAAAATTTTTATTCTCGCGATTAATCTCGCGAGAGTACGCTTTGGAATGTAAAATAATCCCAAGCAGAATATAAGGTTATTATAACATCGAAATCGTTCCAAAATGATTATTAAAAGTCATTTTTCAATCAGTCAAGATTTAAAATGATGTTATCACATGGAAAGAACGAGTTTACTGAAGTATCTAAAAATTTAACTAGATATCCTAGACAGCACAGAATATTTATGATAAATATTTATTGATATTCATTTTTTGAAATGTTATATAGATATTTCATACATATTTTATATAATACAATAAATATTTCATAATATTTATAATAAATGTTTATGATCTGTGCAATCTAAGACCATAAAAATATTTATAAAATATTTAAAATAAATCTTATAAATATTTATAAATATTTTGTAAATATTTTATAAATATTGTGTGCTGTCTGGAATACAGACCTGAAAATAATCCGTTCTTGACATTTGTAAGCTGAAGTAATAAAGCTACAGATCTGAAAATAATTTTGTTGGACCATCAAAATAATTATGTGGGGAAACTCAAGCATGAGCAATGCTGCAAAAAGTTTTGACCTTCCAGCAATCAATTTCAACTTTAGCAAAATCGTTCTTTCTGCAGTAACTTGCGTGACTTGTTCCATTGGGATTTAATTTAACGTAGATACTTGACGATCGAAATCATTACGGATTAATTGCGTTTCTATTTTCGATAATAAAATCACGCGACTTCCACCGTCGAGAGATTGTAGAATGCGAAAACGCAAGTTTCGAAAGGATGATTTTCCTACTCGGAAGTATCGGCAGCGATCCGGGCCATTACCTGCCACACGCCACGGCGAGTAATGCATTTTCCTCGGTCCACAGTGTAACAATAAAAAAGCGCGCAATGCCGGTATGCCTATGAGTCAGCACACGACGATGGGAAACGTAATCGTTTCGAATATGCGGGTCATCGTTGAGGCAAGCTGTCTGTCTTTCAGCGACGCCCGGAGGTCTGCATTTCTGCAGCGGTGCTTTTAATCTCGCGCATGACGCCGCGAAACACGACACCGTCACGTTGCAACCGAAGATGCTTCGTCGTTAATCCTCGATGATTCTCCGCAGACGGGATTTTCTTTTTATCAAAAAAATTTAAAATACAGACGAAGGTGTGGCCGCGATTTTTCATTAAATTTTAACCTTTCGTCAAACAAGTTGGACTTCAAAAGTACAGTCGATATTTTGATTGTGAATTTTGATTAATTTAAATTTATAAAAAATATAAAGTAAAATACAATCCGACCTCTGTGATAGTAAAAACTCGAATTGTTATAACTTTTACAAGTGTGCAGAATTCTTTTTCTATTGTAAGAACATTATAAAAATTTGTACTGAAGTTTGAAGACTCAAGTTATTGACGATCAAAATTCGGCATGGCAGACAAAGGGACATACAGCAAGTTCATTCCCATAATGTTGCAGCAAAATTGCAACGTTTCTATAATATTGCAGTAACGTTACAAATATTGCAGCAATGTTGCTGCAAACTTTTATACTATATGAATTAATATTCCTTCGAAGAGTCGCGCTAAAATCCGAAAATCTGCACGTTGCCGCGATCTGCAGCGTGTTCTTTCCAGATGTTGCACCGGTTTCTCATTTCGCGTCACACCTTGCAAATCGTAGCTTTCGAGGTCGTTGTCTTTCCTGCGTCGCGTCGCCGGTGCCTACGAGGCCGCGAAAAACCGCAGCATCGTCGTCGTCGTCGTCGTTGTTATCGTGTGTATTACACGGCAACTGTTATCGTATGATTCATTTCGCGATGGTACAAATAGTAGTCGATATCGTCTCGTGAGACCGAGATAAGAGCATGTTTATCTCGCAGTTAGAAAGATCCCTATAAGCGCATAACGGTATTTAATATGAAGTAATATTTTAGGCATATTCTTAGAATATTAAATGTAACATTTTAAGAATATTTTACTAAAATTATATTATATTATAATATCACCATTTAAATTTTTTTTTTAATAATATTCATGTAACATTCTAGGAACATTTTGTGCTTATAGGGATTGATTGAATCGAAGTGACACATAACGAATGCGAGCATCTGATTATTTGTTCTGTTATCGTGTATACCTAGAAAAATGTTCTTATTAAACCAACAAAAAGGCCCAACAAGAATAACATTTTAATGAGAGCAAATAGAATTTTCGATTATCATAACTAAAAATTCTGTTTGATCACAATACTATTCTTGTTGATTTTTGTTGACGAAAATGAATTTGAATTTTCTACGTAATTATTTTGATGGTCTAACAAAATTATTTTCAGATCTGTATTTAAATTTAGATTATTAACTTCAGCAAAATCATTTTTTCCTATGAAATTAAAAATCTTTAAGGAGATTTTCTTAAGAATCCATGGAACCCAAAAATTCATGGAAAACCTTTCGTTAAGATTATCTGTTAAAAACAGGTGTAGATCCCACGTGTGAGACATGTTTAATATGAACATCAATCAACGTAAATTATAATTGCAGAGAATTAAATCCTCAAACTTATTCACCAAAGTCATCGTAAATCTTTCTTCTGCAATTACGACGAATGATGCCGCGTGAACATGCACGCGTGCCTTCTCCTTCTTTCTCATCGTTCCTCCCTTTCTCTCTTATGCGGTTCTCCAAATTAAATCGGTTCTCCGTGCCTGCTGGCCAGACTGTTCTTTCCAGATAGAGGCGAAAAAATTCAGGCCGACAATAAATCAAATTGATTTTCTACCATTTGACGGTTTTACCGCTCCGGCATTGTGCACACAGCGTAAATCCCGCTAAAGCTGCTTTCCCTCGGGCTTCCAGGTAACGTGGACATCGTGAACGGCAATCTGAAGCTGATCCTGGGCCTGATATGGTCGCTGATCGTGCGGTATCAAATAGGCAAGTCCAAGTTCCCGCCGAGGAAACTCATGCTCGCATGGCTCAAGGTCAGTATGCGATATAATTGCACCGAGCACGACCTCGACTCGCATCGCGCGGCCGTAAACCAAATGCAGAAGCTATATTACTTTACCTCGAGCTCCTCGATCCTTTCCGACGGGTCTACATATATCGCGTTACGCGAGAACGTGTTTCCGTTACGAAAGAGTTCACAGACGCTGTTTGCATACGCTCACATATTTGCATGCGACATTAATATTATACATATATACGTACGTATATACGCGCATTGTGATTTATACGCCCGCAATTGACCCTTGGATACCTCGCGTATCGCGATCGTCGTATTTAATTGCTCGCTAATAACCGTAAATGGATAATCTCTAAACGGCAGCGTAATTTCTAAGAGCGACTCTGTTTTCAGGCTGTCTTGCCGGAATGCAGAGTCAATAATTTCACGACCGACTGGAACTCCGGCGTGTATCTGAGCGCACTTTTAGATTATTGCAAGCCCGGCCTGTTCCCTCATTGGCGACAGCTCGATTCGAACGACAGGTAAAATAAATAAATGGCTTAATATATGATATCGTACGATTTTTAACTTAATTGATATATTAGCGCTTTGGTATTTGTGCATATTATTTACCATTATTCTCTTTTGGTACACTGAGAGAAAAAAATGATTGCATAATTTAACTATAATTTGTTATCATTTTGTGGGACAACTACATATTTATGTATAGTTGTTTTAACCATGCAAATATAATTAATAACAGTCACACACACAGTTTGAAAATTTTTAGTTCTTTAAAACATATATATTTTTTAATTATTATTAACATAAATAAGTAAGTAAATTTAAAGAAATAGTTGTATTCACTATAATTGCAATTGCATTTACTGAATAAAAATGTTTATTTTATTTATTTTTTGTATCTTGATATTTTACTATATTAATGTTTGAAATTATTATAATTTATAGTATCATTTTTGTATATTTAAGAGAATATATATACGGATATTATTATTAACATTATAATAATCATAAAAAGGGAGCTCCATAATTACTTTATCATGCAATTATATATAGTAACAAATACCAAGCACTTTTCTCTCAATGTGTACCTGAAATTATAAAAGTTCTTAATGATAATATAAAATAAATAAAATAAAATCGCCATTGACGTTTGATTACGAAAAAAATCTAAACTGTACATACTTGACAGTTGACAGTTAATTACTATTAACCCTTCATTGCTCGCGTGGAATATTCAGAATATCCTAACTTGATAAATTCGCTAAATGCTATTTATACACATTATTATATTTAGCACAAATTGTTTCACAATTAAAAAAATGTTCACATTTATATTTATCTAAATAATGTATAGAAAATATGATCAATCTATATTTAATTGTAAATCATCAAAGAGAACAATGAAAATTAAAATATAATGTTTGACTGACAGAAACACCTCATATGAGTAATTACAAAAAGATATATAAAAAGAATTATACGAGTAATGTAAAGTTAAGAATTTATCTAATACCGAAGACTAAAAGAGGAAAATTAAATAAATTCTTAGAATATTAATGCTAAATTTTTATTAGAAAGAAAACTGAAATTATTGTAGTTAAATTATCATGATTAAAAGAATATATGATCACTTTCCAATACCTAACTTATTTATATAAAAATAATATCATAATTGTTTCTTTAATTTAATAAATTAATAATTCATGAGGGTGGAACTATGGTTGCCGTATAATGTCATACTGGTACTGTCAATTTTATATTGTATACTATTATTTTAATATTAATTTATTTTCACATTTGTAGTGTTTATAACTGTCGCAAAGCCATGGAAATATCGAAGCGTGAGTTTGACATCCCCCTGGTACTAGAGCCGGACTATCTGGCATCACCTTACCTGGACGAACTCTCAGGGATGACCTACTTATCGTACTTTATGAAGGAAGGCTCGCCAGGCTTCCACGCAACGCTACGATGGGTCAATTCGCAATTATCACACACCTCAATACGGAACTTCACGGTGAGTGGAGACGAGAAGTCCCGGTAACAGTACCTCGGTATAATATCTCGCAGTGATATTCAATTGTACTTCTTTCACAGACGGATTGGAACGACGGTCGAGCACTGTGCGGAATCATCAGAAATTTGGGCGGCCCGGCACCACCCTATGAGAAACTCGATACCGACCCCTCCGCGTGGGAGCATAATTTGCAAATGGGTAAGAACCACAAAAATTTATTTCCAATATTTTGCTCATAACAACCATATAAATGTTTTATAAATTTACCGCATATTTTCATGAAGAAATGATATATATTCTGATATAAACTTTACATTATTTGATTATATCAGAAAATATCGGTAATATATTATATTTTGACGTGTAAATTGTGTTTGAATGTACACAGTTGACAGTTAAGAAGTTATTTAGTACTGAAAAAATTAAAAATATTTTTAAAAATTAAATAAATTCTAAGAATATTTAATGTCAAATTTTTATTAAGAAAAAACTAAAATTGTTCTAATATTTGTGATTAAAAGAATATATAATTATTTTAGAATAGCTTGTGTATATCAAAATGATGTCATACTGCATTGTTTCTTTAATTTAATAAATTAATAATTTGTAAAGGTAGAACTGTGCCGTAAAAATATAAGAAATACGTTCAATATCAATTATGATAATATAAATTGTCCGATACATCTATTTACGTGTATTACACTAATAAATTCTTAATAAAAACGACAATTTTTTAATAAACTAACTAATCAAACGACGTGTATTTTGTGTAAGGTATCGACGGCGGCAAGAAGTTGGGCGTGGAGCCGATCTTGAAAGCGAAGGACATGGCTGATCAGAATGTAGAGCATTTAGGTGTGATGGCATACTCAGCGTATTTTCAGTGGGTGAAACCTCGCCCTCAAGCGAGTCAACAGATTGCCGTACACGTCGACAGCACATCCGCCCGAGTGCAACAGCCGGTTGGTTAAGTCATTGTTTGTTAATTACATCTTCGCGCCGAAACTAGTCAGCGACTAGTCAGCGACTAGAATTTTCACCGCTGCAATTCCTTCCATAATCCTTATCCAAGAAATCCCTGTTTGTTCATCCAACAAAATACTCTTGGAATTTTACATCTCGAAGCTTCAGTTACTTCGACAATAAACAAATTGTATGCAATTTGGTCGCAGGCACATTTCAAGCTGGAGATGCTCACCAAAGATGTAAATGCGCGGGAGGTGCGCGGCGAAATCATAAGTCCCAGCGGACGCGTGGAATGCAGGCTCACGTGGAACGGAGTTCATGGCAAAGGCACTTTCGTACCTACAGAAGTGGGCATGCACAAGGTTCGTTAAAGAGACATAATTATAAAATATTGTAATTTTAATAAAAAGACAGAAGAATTCTTGTTTGATTATAGGGTTTTCACAGATACTTGATTTTCGTATCCGCGAATTTTTCCATCTTCATACTTTAAAAAAAAGTTCCCTTAGGAAATTGCAAACAAAATGCAAAAATTAAATGGTTAAAAATAAGAAAAAAAGGAAAAAAAAGTTTTCGAAAAGACTCTCGAAAATGTAAAAAAAAAAAAATAAAAACGAGAGCTAATGAGAGTGTAGGTGTAGTAATTGGAGCGCTAATTAAGTTGAGTAAAAATGGTCTTCAATTCACAATACTTAATTATAAACATAAATTAATAATAAGTACTGTAAATGAAGACCATTTTTACCCAGGTTAATTAACGCTCTAATTACCATGTCTATACTCTCTCATTAATCCTCGTTTTTATGTTTTATTTTTTTAAATAGTTAGTTTTTATTTACATAATTTTCTTTTAAATATATGTGGGAAATATTAAACACTATTTTCTATATTTTTAAATTTATCTTTTTTTTCAGCTGATGGTGTACAACGATGGCGAGCTGGTGAACGGATGTCCCTATTACTTTAGGGTGTTGCCGCCGCTAACAAAAATCAAATCCCCGGGCATGGATCCTTGCGCTATAGGATCTATCGTCGAGGTTCTAGTCAACAGTTACGGTATGTACTTCCGGCAATACGAAAGAATTCACTTTCGGCAAACAAAGTCAGAATATTGGAATTTTGTATCAGGAACTAGTCATGACGGTATCGACGTGACCGCGTGGTCTCCGACCGGAAGATCGCTACCGTGCCCCGTTAAGGAAAAGGATGGTGTGCACACGGCGACCTTTCAACCCGACGAGACGGGAGAATGGAGTATCGCGATAACGCACAAGGGAAATCACATACAAGGCGGTCCTTTTACTTGCTTTGTATTCGATCCTAATGGAATTAAGGTAAAATAACGTATTAACGTTATTTGTAAATAGAGGTGCGTTTTTTATCCTTCAATTTGTACGTCTGGCACGCAGATATAATCAACTCGTAATTAATAATTTATAGGCAGAACCAGTTTATCACGTTGATATTACTTATGAAGTTATACTTTCATATTTATGACAGTTATACTTTCTAATATTTTGCGATTGGAATTCGTAAAGTAAAATTAACCATAAAAATTTCACATAAAAATTTTCTAATTTCATGTGAAAATTCTCTTCAATATGTCTTAAACGTAGCAAATAAATATGTATATATATTATATATATATAAAATCATAAAAAAAATTTATATATATTTTTTTTAAACACATTGTAATTAATTTCTATTCTTCTTACAATCAACAGAATAATTTGGAAATAATTTAATAGGCGTCTACACGAAAAAAATGATTTTGTTGAAGTAACATTTATAAAAATCTAAAAATTGAATCAGATATAGATCTAAAAATAATTTTACTAAGTTATCAAAATAATTATATAGAATAAACATAATAATAAAATTGCAAAAATTTTTACATTTTAATAACCAGTTTTAATATCCTATATATAATTATTTTGATAGCCTAGTAAAATTATTTTCAGGTGTCTGGTCAAATTTTTAAATACTTGAACGAAACTGTTCTCTTTCTGTACAAAATTATCTAATCACAGCTCTTGGACACGGACGGCGCCATGCCCGGACAACCTTTTTCATTCATCGTAGACGCTCGGGGGACCGGCGGACTCGGCGACGTCATTATCGACATCGTCCACGACAAGCAATCGGTACCCTACAGAATAGAGGATTTCGGTCACATGCAGTATCGAGTGTCCTTCGTGCCTAATGACGAGGGCAAGTATCGAGTGTACGTCTACTTTAACGGCTCGGACGTGCGTGGTTCACCGTTTTCCATACGCGTGGGAACACAGAAGGGCTCCCGTAGGTCGAAGGAGTCCACGTCCAGTTTGGAGCGGTCCAAGGTGTCGTCTTTAGAGCGACGAATGAATGGACTGAATGTTTCCGCGACGGAACAGAGCAGTCCAACCCAGAAAATGTATACCTCGACCGCGTACAAGTCCATCAGTCCGACGCAACGCGGTTACTCGCCTATCCATCAGACCAGCCCGACGTACAAAATGTCCAGCTCGCTCGCCGAATCATATCAATCACAGCCCTGTGCAGAGAAACATGAACAGCCCGTCGATGCTTAAGGAAACGAAGGAGATTTACAGCAGCAACACGTACAACCATCACTCGAGATCGCCAAATCTGCAGAGTCCCAGCTTCATCAAAGAATCCAAGGATATTTATTCATCCAGTACGCTCAACAGATCACGATCGCCAGATTTGAGCCCAACCGCTCACATCATTAAAGAATCCAGGGACATCTACAATTCGGGATCCCTGAAGAGATCGCGCTCGCCGACCCGCAGTCCAATGACATATAGCGCCACACAGAGTCCTGTAAATCGCAGCTTCAGCCCACGAACCGGCGACAAAGACGCGTCCTTCAACAGGCGAGGATCCACGGACAATGGCATCATCGACACCAGCAGCAACGTGCGGGTATCCTCGATGGTGGGTAGCACTTCAAGACGCGATTCCTGGGACGCAATCGCCAAGACGAAGTCGCTGCTGTCATACGGCAGTCTCGAATCCCTCGCGAATCTGACGAACTCGCCAACCGCAGAAAACCGTGATGGCAGTCCGAACGACAATTTCCTGAACAATAACAACTACAAGAACGCGCAGAGCTACTCCGCCAAGAACGTGTCGTCGCACTCTGCGACGACGAGCTACTCGACTGTGCAGAAGTCGTCGAGTCCCGATTACGGCGTGGGTCCGAGGTACGATAGTCAAACGACCGCTCGCACACACGGCATCCTGAAGAATAAGAACAACAATTACTACGGCAAGATCACTGATACAACGGACGGTACCACGACTCATGACAGGTACCTGAACAACGGCGGTGCTGTCTACGTGTCCGCGTCATCTGGCAAGAGCGGCACGGTCGTCGCGACCGGAAGCGCACTGGAAACGTTGCCGGTGCACCGGCCGACCACTTTCAGCGTCACCGGCGTGGATCCCAATAAGGTGTCCGTCACCGTTACCGGTAAATCCCGTTGCGACTTTCGACGTTAACGTGGCGTGTCGCGAATACACGATAAAGTATGCCTTTATGCCTCCCGCAGGTCCCAATGGCAAAACCGTACCGATACAGAAATCGAAGTTGCGTGGCTTGACGTACACCATCACCGCTGAAGAGGTCGGCGAACACGTCATCCAAATTCTGGTGAACGGCCAGCACATCAAGGGATCGCCCTTTAGGTTCGTTCAATGACGAAGAAAATAGTTTCATCTCGAAATTTAGTACATAGCCGAGAAAAAGATATCATTTTTATTTGAACCTTAAAAAGACTTATAAAATTAAACTTGGAAAATTATAAATTTGAGAATGTCTATTAAATGCTCGTCAGGATTAAAAAACAGAAATGTAGCTAAATTATTCATAAAATAAATTGTTTATATAAAGTTTATTTGAAGTCGAAAGGAACTTATGAAATTAAACTTGGAGAATTATAAATCGGGAATGTGTCTATTTAAAAACATCTCGTTAGGAGATTAAAATTTTTCTATTAAGAACTTAACAGAAAATTTTCAAATAAGAATTTAGCTAAATTATTCTTAAATAAATTGTTTATATTAGATCGCAGGCATATAATGCCCGAGCTATTCAAGTTGGGAAGATCCCGAACGGAGTGGCGAACCAGCCGGTAGAATTTGAAAGTACGTATCTGAGATTGTGAAATCGCGAAACCGCACAAGTGCGTCTCCGATAATAAAAGATGGTTTTGTTTGTCAGTCGATGGATCGAGAGCCGGCTCGGGAAACTTGGAAATCCTTGTAAACGGGGGACACGTCACGAGTTTTGTGAGAGCGCTAGGTAGTCAACGCTTCTTGGCATCGTTTGTGCCGCATGAAGCGGTTGCACATCTGGTCGAAATGACGTTCAATGGGGAAGTCATCCCTGGTAAGTTACTTTATCATCATGTCTCGAAGCCTCTTAATAAACGTTTTTAATGAAATTCACAAACGTTTATCTTAAAATTTTTAATTAAAAATTGACGTTTTTGGGATTTCTACTCAAATATCTATAACAGTTTTGTTCATATATAACAGTTATTGAATTTAAAGAATTATTGTTAAAAAAAACATGTTTTAAATTTTAATCTTTAAATGATTACATTGCAATCGAAAATTTGGAACGCTTTTAAAAATTGATATTTTTAGGATTATTTACTCAAATACTATTCCTATAATAATGTGTTTTTTTTTTTACAATAATTCTTCCGTTTTAATAACCGTTAATGAATCTAAAGAGATTATTATTAAAAAATATACTGTTATGACATTTAATAGCAATTCCAAAAATGTTAATGTTTGGAAAGTGTTTCTAAATTTTTAGTCTGGAGTGTAAATACATGATCTCAGATTTCGCACTAATGTGAAAATGCTGAAATATTTTTAACAGTTAGAGCACTATTAAAGCTCGAACATTTATTCCGCTTCATTTGCGTAATGTTCCATTCTGCCTTGTATCCGGTATTTCGTACGCTATCTTCGTCGCAAATATCTTAATTTTCACGATTGCGGTTTTTAGCGCGCCTTTCTTTTGTCAAATTCCGACGCGGTGGCCTCGGCGCTTCTCCGCTAGAATAAATTCCTACTGCGTACGCACGATTGAACGCACTCACGCACGTGTGCATGCGTGTACACCACTGTACCTGCACGTGCACGGGCACATGTATCTTCTGGAATGCGCGATAGTCTTTGCCATCGCCATTAAGAAAGCTGGAATGCATACTGAACTACGTTGAAATGTTGTTTAAAAGTATGCATCGTCGCGCAAACGATGATTTGAACCTCGGAGCGATTCATCGAAAGTTGATGTACGCAAATTAGAATTAATACGTAATGATATTAGCCTCAGTCGAATTAAATCAATATTTGCAAGATGATTCATTTGATGAAAATTTTTATGAGACGAAGATATTTTGATATTTAATATCTCACGATTTAATAAAATTTTTTTAACCATATAAATAAAAGATTAAAAATGCTACAATTTTTATATTGCGTAATAACTTATACTGTTATTCATATTTTTAATAATAATAATAATCAATTATATAAAACATACAAAGCTTGTATTTTTTAACTCTTTTCAATTATAATAATTTTTCTTATTTGATACATTCGATAATGTTGAAAAATATTTCTTAGTGAAAGTAATTCATTTATTTTTCACAGCCTTCCGCATACATAATATTTATATTTATCAATATTTTATCATTCTGTATTTCACACTATACACTAAAAAAATTAAGTTTTAACAGCATAATTCCAATTGGAAATAATCTTATTAATTTAATAACAATATTAATGAAACAAATAACATTTTATTAAAACAAGAGCATAATTTATTTGTTACATTAATTCTGTTATTGAATTAACAAAATTATTTTCAATTAAAAGAATGTTGTTAATAAAACATCATTTTTTTCCGTGTATTATTATCAAACAATATTACTTGACTTATAATCTTTTTTAATCGCCGATACATTGAACCGTGAATTTTTCGTATTCATAAAAGAAACGAGGAATGTGCAGTGTTAAGTTTGAATGTTAGCTTAAGGAAGTGTTACGTGCCTTCGATAAATAGCACACCATTGGCACAAATCCACCTTGAGTTCCGTCATGCTTTGCCACATCAACTATAAGTAATACTTCTTTTCTCTCACGCCCGCGAGCGCAATTCACAATGTAGTTACTCGCGGCGGTCTTATCATGGAAATCATTCACCGTCTACCGTAGAGCGTTGTTTTCGTTATGACCTTTAGCACTATAAGCTTTGGTAAAGCTATCCCCGACTCGATTTCCAATGGCTATCGTCCGCATGGAGAAAATGTTGTAAGAGCGACTTCCGGTATTTCCCTCCCGCGCTGTTCCCGGCTTCACGCTCCGTGCGAACTTTTAAAGACAGTCTCTGCAATCTGCAAACGACGATGGTTTGCAAAATTTCTGCGTTATCTTGCCCAATGTGCGCGCACTGAAGCAACATTACGGCCCATGCAGAACGCAGTTTCTTCCCTTGGTAAGCGAGAAATTTCCTCGCACAGCCATTCTCAGCACGGGGACTTCAATGCTGGAAGTTAGGATCTAAAATTACTATGTTTGAGTGCGTGAATTTTGGACAGTTCAATTTAAATTGGATAACTTTAAACCCTTCTCATTTTCAAAAACTAGTCTCGACATTTTGGTATTAGAATTTTCGTCTTAAAATGGTCTCAGAAATCTACTATTAACAGGTCACGCAAAGTCTGAGATATCCTGCATAAAATACCGCAATGGCATAATTTTTTTTCCGTATTTGGCGTAAAAAAGTAGTGGAAAATTTGCGGTATTTTATCAATCTAGTGACTTTATTCAAGTTAAAAAATCAAATAAAAATGTTTTTTCGTTTCGAGTCCCAATTTAATTTCTCCGCGGGGAGCGGGTTTTCTTTTCTCCCGTGAAGTTTCTCGAACGTAATTACTCTGACTCTTCCATGATAAGTGCCGCCGAGCATTCCTCGGCACTTATCGTCAAGGAGACGTGAGGAGCGATCGAGTTCGTCCGCGTCCCAGGCATGCGAGGCAAGCGTGTCTCTAAGTCAGCGGGTCATCGGGCAGGTCGTTGACTTGCGATTTCACGCATTCACGTGACGTCCCACTGACCCATATCCGACGTCATCGGTTCTCCTTGACTTCCTGAATCTTTTTTTTTCCGTCGCTACCTCGCCGTCATAATGCGCGAGGCCACGATCAGTGCGGAATGACGAGTTCGTCGTTCGTCTCGCCATTTAAGTAACGCTACTGCATGCCTTTGTAGTAAAAGTCTCACAGAAACACATCCAGCGATCGTAAAAACGTAAAGAAACATTCCGCTGTGATACATAGATAAAATAGTGAATAACCCTGAAATGTTTTAATTGTTTTATTATTAGGAAATTGGCCTACAATTTCTCTTTTATGCATATTATGTTCTTGTTAGAATAAACTCACACAACACTATTAGATATCAAAGAAAACAATGGCAACTCAATCCTTTATGTTAAATAATATTTTGTTGTTTTTAACTTCCACATGTGTCAAAATTTAAATCAAATTATAAAAAAAAATACTCATGTTATACTTTCAAAGTAAACAACGTTAATATTAATTTATGGACTTAGCAAATAATAAATTAAATTTAAATCTCAAATTTAATACATTTTCTTGAGTTAAATTGTTTAATTCTATTGTTTTAATTAAATTAACGACATATTGAATAGGTCAGTAGAAGCAGTAATGACTTACTTAGAAATGGTTAAAAATAACTCAAATTGGGTATAATTTGACATTATATGAATTTAACAGTAAATGCCTTGAATAGTCACCAGTACATTGTTTTATATCAGTCTTCTAACAGTACATCTTCCAATTGCTTGAAAAATATTGGAAGACGAAATCTGCTTCTTATTCTTTAAAGCTGCTCAGAATTCGATGATATATATATATATATATTTAAATTAGGCGATTGCACTGGCCAAGAAAAATATTAAAACTTTGCAAAATGGAGAACGATTTTGGAAAATAGAGTGAGAAGCAAATTTCTCTTCCAATATCACTTATATAAACAAAGAAATATATTCTGTTAAACGAACAGAACACTCCATTATAATGATTATTTAAACATTGTATGACTATTCCGAAAAGGATAAAATCTGTATTAAAGGCAAATAGTGGACCGACCTCATATTAATAAAACAAGTATACTTTGTATTTTCCAGGTGTTCATATTATTGTATATCCATCTCCTGATTCGATTTTTCATCCGACATAGGTATTACTTGAATCCGAATTGTTTAGATTCACAAATACTTAAATTAATAAGGTCTTGAAGTATTTTGAGTCCTCAATTTAACACATTACATTTTTAATTTTATTACATCTGATGTATTGAATTCAAAATTGAAAGCAATGGCGAGAGGAAACGCTCCGAAAGTGAAATTGTTGCCCATAGACAGACCCGAGGCTGTAGCTCCGCTGCGCCACTGCACGTGCATGAATAATATTATTTAGATGCCATATACAGTGCACTCCGATGCGATTACGTATTCACGCAAACGCACCCGGTAGCTATTATTATCTACCCTTTTCCGTATATCGCATCACCGATAACAGAAAACTAACGTAAATACTTTTCCAGTGCATTTTTCCATTGCATTGCATTTTAATGAAGTAACGCAAATACTTTTCCATTTTACTTTTCCATTGCATTGCATTTTAATCATAATTAACATTAGTTTTAATTGATTTTGCAATTTTTTCATTAGTTTTCAAACCACGCATATTTCATTGATATAAATTATTCCTCGTTATTTCAACAAACTTTTATATATAACGAAATCAATTTGAGCGATTGAAATTAAATTAAGTTTTGAAGCAGGAAACAAAAATTAATTCAAGATAATTTAAAAGATAAAGAAGAGAAAGTTATATATTTTCTGTTACACGATTGACGAAAGCATTGAAAAAAAATTTAGTAATAGCTAAATGTATTTTATTTAGCGTAATATTTACTAAATATTACCAAACATAATAATAGTAATCAACAGTTTGATAATAATTAGAAAATAAGATATTAGAAAATAAGATTTCGAAAATTAAAATTATCAAAACCAACTAATGTTAATTAGTTGATTTGGAAAATTTTACTTTTTCAAAGTTTATCTTATTTTTCTAATTATAACTTCTAATAATAATTAACATTATTTTAATTGATTTCGACAATTTTATTTTTCTAAATATTATCTCACTTATCTAATTATAAAACGATTAATTATTGCTATTATATATTCAATAAAACGTTCGATTAATATAACCAAAACCAACTAATGTTAATTAGTTGTATACACATGTAATTGAAAACATTTTACTGAAATTATTT